GACCAAAAGGATGCTTGAACATGACTTCTTAGGTCTTTGACAAATAAAGTACTCAATGATTACAAAATTCCCCACTTAAAAAACTGAAGAAGTTAAATAACATGAATATTTGCTAACATTAATTTGTGAGACTAGCTATTAACTAGTAGTTTATTTTTAAAAAAATTTCTAGATGATGCTTATTTTACTGGAATGTAAATTTTTTGTGAGGAAAAGGACCATATTTCAACCTAGGAATATATTAAATTTTACTTTGTTTATAGTTTAACAAAAGAAGAAAACACCTGGTATCAGAATGTAATTCCAGCTAACGTACATATTTTATAATATACACAGACACAAAAAAAGAGAGATCAAACCCTGTGTTCAAACAAGTACATGCATAAGGAAAGTATAAAGAAAACACTACACAGTTATTTTTCAAGAGTTTCTAAAAAACTAACTCTAAATTCACTTTTTTTTTTTTTTTACTTCTACAGCTGCTGTGGAAACAAAGAGCTTCATTCTAGACTGTGTACTTAAAGAGAAACTTAGAATAATGAACAGTTTTGTTCCCACTCTTGGGTAATATGCTACAAAATTATCATGAAATGAGGTAAATGCAGAGAAAAATATTGTGACCATTATCCAGGTATATTTATCCTGGCCACGTTCATTCTTGTAAAACTACTGATAGTTAATGAAGTATTAATAGACAAGACCTGATATACATTCATGAGGAAATTTTCAAAAGAAATAAATTAAAACGCAAGAGAATGAGAACTTGCCATCATGTAAAACAAACATAAAAAGTCTTTCTGAGAGGTGGAGAGAAGGCAGACAGACAGATACCACAAGACCCAGGATGATGTATGTCAGCAATTTCTCTAGATTTTCTTTGTAAGTGGAATTGAATATTCTAGACTAGATGCTAGAAAAGTTGCCAATCCAGAAACAAAACAAAAAGAGACGAATATAAACAAAAACAGAAACTGCTCTTTCAAGTCAAAGGACTAGCAAAAGGGCAACCAAGCCAAAGAGAAAATTTACAGCACCTTTCTTCAGCCAAACAACACACGAAAACAGGCTAACACTCACTCCTGGCAGGAAAGGTTAGGTAGAGAAACTAGACTACCCACCTCACCCAGCTATAACCGGGCATCCTTTTCCCTTAGAAGTGCTAGCAGAGAAGTCTGGATGGGGAATTGGAACTTCATTTTCACGCAGCAGTAAGAAGGCCTCCCACAGTGTCAGCACAGGCCACAGGGAGATCCTGAACTTTGACCCTCATGAGTAACAAGGCACCCTTCTCTTCCTGAGCCAGGATGGTGTCAGAGGAAGCCTCATTCCTCATGGAACTTTCACCACAATTCAGTAGAAATAACTCCTCCTTGATCATCTTAGTGTCATCAGAAGTCTCACAGGAGGTAGTAACTAAGAGATCCTCTACCTCCCACCCAGAGGATCCAGGCAGAACCTGGATTTTCATCTCCATCGGGAGGTATAAAGGTGGCACCCCCTGGACTTCTGCTTGGCATGGTATCAGAGGTCTAATAAAATTGAATGTTTAAGTAAAACCCTCCCCAGAACACAATACCATAAAATATCCAGGAAAAAGGTAAAAAATCACCTGTCATATACCAAGAACCAGGTAAATTTCACCTTAATGAGGAAAGACAATCAACGGATGCCAACACCTGTTGGTATCACGTGACCAAGATTTTAAAGCAGCCAACACAGAAATGCTTCTATAGGTAATGGCAAGAATGCAAAAAACATCAACAAAATAGTCTTAAGAAAGAAATAGAAGATCTGGAAAAGAACTAAATGAAATTTGAGAACTGAAGAAAATATAATAATTAAACTTTTAAAGTTTCAATGGGGCAAACTCAGCAGCTCCAGTGAGAGGACACAAAGAAAAAAAAATTCAGTCAACTTAAAAATAGAACAATAGGCACAATATGAACAACAAAGAAATAATAGACATTCTTAGGAATCTGTCAAAGTACAACAAAAGATCTGTCTTGTCATCTGCACCCAAAAAGAAAAGGAAAAAGGTGGGGCAGAAAAAAGGATTTCAGATGATTGAAAATAAGGTGAGCGTATCGGAGGGAGGGAGGTAGGTGTGATTTTAAAGGAGGGAAATCTTTATGGTGATAGTAAGATTCTGTATCTTGATAATGGAGGTAGCCATGGGAATGTACACATGTGATGAAACTGTACGTAGACATTGTACCAACACCATCCTCTTGGTTTGGATACTGAACTTTAGTAAACTAAAATGCAAAAGACTACAACAGAACTTTTCTGTACTGTCTTACAAATCCTGCATACGTATAATTATTTCAAAATCACAAGTTAAAAAATGAATGGAGATCTTCAAAGTAGTGCACTGTGGTTTTGGAAATAAAAAAATGGTAGAATATGACTGAATTAATTAAATGATAGAAATCCTAGTTCTTTTTTTCGGGGGGGGATAAGTTCTACATACATAGTAGGAGAAAAGAGAGATGAGTTCAATATCATTCACTTAAAAACATTTATTAAAGCTTCTGACACATGAGAATGAAGACAGTCTTTAAGGATTCAGAAAAATCCTAGTTCTGGTTCTCAAGTTTAGGAGGAGGGAGACAAAATCAAACAGAATTGCATGTTGCAATATTATTGCAGTAGAAAGGTTGAGAAAAAAATCAGAAATGTTTTTAATCCATAATAAATAGGATGAGGATGAAATTATGAAAGGCTTCCTAAAGGAAGGGATAGCCAGAATCAGTTTTGTTCAATGAATGGATAGTGTAATCGGAGAGAAAAGCTAGGGAAGGGCATTCCACAGTGAAGCCACAGCATTCACAATTCTTTAGATACAGAGGGGACTGCAGAGGAGCCCCAGTGTGAGTCAAGTGCACAAGAGGTAATAAAGAGGCTAAGAGGAGGCAGGCTCTGAGGTCTGATGGAGAAAGCCTTTCAGGCACCTAACAGGCACCACTATATGCCAGGCAAAGTGGTGAGCACATCCAATACAATGAATAGTTTGGCTCTGCTACTCAAGGAGCTTGCAGTCTAGAGAAACAGGGGCATAACCTGATAATTATAAAATGAGGGTAAGTACAGACAACGAATTTGATTCGTTCATTTTGAGAATAGGGAAGATGAAAACTAGCTTTGTGTGAATGGACAGGGATGTAGGTAGAAGGTTCTGGTCTGTAAGAATGTCAGGGAGTACAACGTGCAGGCCACTGTTAAGAAGTGGGATATGGCTGGACTTTAAATTTGAGTGAGTCACTCTGACAGCACTGAGTGCGCTAGGGTAGGAAGAAAACTAATGGAGGATACCAAGAGAAAGAAATACAAAAGAAAGTAAAACCAGTAGGGCATATATAGTGGGTAGAAGCCAAAGGAGGAGGTAAGAAATTAGAAAAAGAACAACAGTGGAAGGTATAGCCATAAGACCTAATAAGAGGTCAGAAAAAAAATTATTAGATTTGGCAATGAAAAGATCAGTCTATCACTAGGGTCACTAGTTCCAGGGTAGTGATGAAGACAGACACCAAACAAGAGTTTCCAAGAGGTATTTCAAGAAAGTGAAGCAACAAATATCAACCAATATCTGAAGCTTAAGGAAAGCACAGGAGCAGGACAGTAGATGGTATGGTGGTTGAGTTGCTGGACTCCCACAGTGGTCAATGAAGGTTCAAGTCCTGGACCTGGTGGCTTCAAAATTATGCTGGGTGCTTGTGCGGGCGTGCCCAAGATCCTGAAAGGAGAATGAGGGACAAGGGATTGCAACATGGCTATCCTCCCTTGAAGATGATTTCTCACCTTCCCTCTCATCGTCTCTGTCTGTCTCTTTCTCTCTCTCTTTGGCAAGTACACATGCCCTAAGGCAAAATAAATAAATAAACTCTTTTAAAAAAATGGGAAGTATCAAAATAGATCATTTTTATTACTTTTGGCAAATTATGCAAGCATTTTTTTTTAATTGTTTGGATCATGTTGACAGGTTGCTACAACAAAAGAGGAGAAAACAAGACAGATGTTGGAGACACTGAAGAATATAGCTGAGTAAGTCCAGAGAAGATGAAGAGCATCAGGGTCAAGGATACAGATAGACAAGTCAACCTTGAACAACAAAGAAACATTTTAAATTCTGAAAATGAAAGAGTGAAGATGAATATCTAAGTTTCTAGGTGGTAGGAGACTGAGGAACACCAGAGAAAGATATATTCATTTCTTCAGTAACAGAGATGGTGAGACCATCTCTAAAGGTGAAGGTCATGTGAATTTAAGACCAGGCCTAAAGAGGTCTGAAATTACCCTTGGAAGAAATAAGGTCAGAGCTTACTGAATTCAACGTAAAGACTAACTATTGACTAAAGGAACATGATATGTTAAATACTCACTGGAATAATTTTTCTTAAGATGATCTATTTCATAATTTAGTTTATGGGTTCAAATTTCACTCAGCAAGAATTCAGAGTAAGGCAGTGTATATTCCCTTATTTTCTTACAAAAGCTAATTTCAAAATGAGGTCAAGTCCACATGGCATTAAAATATAAGGAGAAATCTTAAAAGCATTATCTTATATTTGTATAATTTCTGCTTATATTTTTGGTTTATTTATGTAAAATACTGCTTATATTATATAAGTAGGCTTTTTGTTTTTTTGTTGTTTGGGTTTTTTTTGTTTGTTTGTTTTTTACATATCTCAAGAATTATTTTAATCTTAAACCCTGCCTGGTAGGTATTACTTTTTCTCTTTTACATATGACAAAACTGAGTATCAGAGAGGGAAAAAAAATGACATCCTATATTTCACAGATGATAACAGCATCAATACTCAATGCCAAATTTTTTTCCTGAAGTAAAATTGTTCACTACATCATAAATTCATTTTAATTGCAGGTCAATGATAACTTGAATTTCATTTTTTTTGCCCATATTTAAGAAAAAAAATAAGATTATTTCAAGTCTATTGGGAGATTACATTATTCAAAAGAAAAGTTCTTTATATATTTTTTATAAAAACCTATGAAACCCTTAACAAATCTGTCATCCTTTCCCAGGGAGCCATGCTAATCCTGTCTCTCTCCAATTGTAGTATATGGGCTGCCGAAGTGAGCACAAAAGTACTTTTAGTCACATGAACACTTTTTTTATCAGAAGCTGCTTTTTATGCATTATATGAATAACTTCTCTTAACTTCAAGATTTATGAAGTTGGGAACCAGCAGTTAGCGTAATGGCTATGTCACTGGACTCCCACGTAGTCAACCGCGGTTCGTGTCCCGGACCCGGTGGCTTAAAACTCACGCCGGGCGCATGTGCGTGCGTGCCCAAGATCCCGAGAGGAGAATGGAGGAGAAGGGATTGCGGCGTGACCATCCCCCCTGGGGGGTGATTTCTCGCTTTCTGTCTTTATGTCTCTCTCTGTCTGTCTGGCGAGCGCACGCACCCTACAGTGAAAATCTCTCAAAAAAAAAAAAAAAAGATTTATCAAGTTTATGGACATGTTTAAGGAACACAGTCTAGGGACCAGCAGTTAGCATACTAGCTATGTCACTGTACTCCGATGTAGGCAACCATGGATTGAGTCCCAGACCCGGTGGCATAAACTCACATGTGTATGCCTGCCCAAGATCCTGAGAGGAGAATGGAGAAGGAACTGCGGTGCGGTCATCCCCCTAGGGAGTGATTTCTAGCTTTCTGTCTCTTTCTTTCTGGTGAGCGCACGTGCCATATAGTAAAAACCTCTCAAAAAAAAAAAAAAAAAAGGAAGTACTTGTGATAAATATTCATCACTATTTTCCTCTTGTTTTTAAGAGCACATCTATAGCTGCTAAAATGAAAGTCAATCCTAAGTGATAGGCCAAGTTTTCGAATATAGCACCAATGGTTTTGCAAAAACCATTTGAACTGCTGGGATATTTGGCAACATTTGACTTCACCATATGATAACTCCACAAAAAGCAGTGATGAATTGACCAGTGTTTATGAAGAACTCAGGGTAGGAAGTCTTGCCCTAAATACCCAACTGTACACAAACCTGTTAATAATCCTAAAGTGTGGAATCACCATAATCTACGAGTAAGAACCCCTCTATATCTACCAGCAGATAGTCATGCTTGACAACAAACAAGAATATTTCCTACACATTTTGGGCCCCAGGCCTTGATAACAATTTAATAGACTTCTGTCCTCAGTGCCCAAAATAATGTATAGGCCTCAAATTACATTATAGTACAACAACTGTATTTTTAATCATTAACCTAGGAAGGAATGAAAAGTTTCAAAAATGTACAGCCATTGATTTTTGTATTTTGAATGCACAAACACACCCCTTTGCATCAGCAGTAGTCTTGAGATTTAATTAGAACTACAAAGAAACATATAGATTACCTAGCCCAACAACTTAAGCTGAGAGGCCAGGAAACTGGGCCCAAACAGGGGAAGTTTACCCAGATACAGTTTAGGTACGAGTGGAATTAGAATCCAGGTATCTGGATTCACAGTTTAATGCACTTCCCAGAAGAAGTACAGATATAAATAACCTCATGTAATTTCATCTGGCAAGCAAATTCATAGGCTGAGTAGAACTTTCAGGATCATGCTGAGTTTGCTGTTTTCTCATATTCAAAAGCACCTTCCATAACAAATGGATAACTAACATTATAATCACAGGAGAAACATTATTTTAATTAATCAAACTTATTACAAACAGTTTTCAAACCATATTATTCAAGATCTCTAAGGAATAATGATACATAAAATGTTCGGCTCTCCTTCAATAGCTTTTTTAGAATTATTCCTACTGAAAATGTAGGATAGAAACAAGTGAGATAAACTACAGCAAAGATAACAACATAACCAACAAACTAGTACTTTTAACCTACAGCCTTTAAGTCTAAATGACGTAGCCACAGATGAGCCCTGATCAGCATCTACAATGTCACCAACCAGAAAGGAAAACAAATCATTATGAAAGTTCGTTGCTTTGTATCACTGTCCTCACACACATTAGCTTCCAGAAAATCATTCCAAAGAACTGAATCATCTGGATCATTTTTATTACTCACTCAGTCTTGAGACTGTCTGCACAGTGCTGACTGAAATGTACTTCAGTGTGCACCTTCCTTCCAAATGAATATCTATGTCAGATTTATTTATAGCTACTGCCTTCAATCAGCGCATTTCCAGGTATAAGAAATAAAATCTCAACATATCCTTCTATACAGAGGGAAAAACCTAGAAATTTTGGCAAATGGTATTTGAAAAGAAAAGATAATAAAGATCTGTAGCACTGCATGTACATTAAGATTTACTGAGATTCCAAGGAACACTCACCTTGTACTCTTTAATAAGCACATATAAAGAGCCCCAGGTACAATGAGTAAAGTAATTTAAACCCTATGTATCTCTTTGCATAACTCAGTATGTACTCCAAGATTATCATCCTCCTCTCCTCCCTTCTCCTTTCCTCATTATGACTGCTCTGAAATTTGGGCACCCTCTTTGTTTCTTACTTAGATGCTTTTCACTGTATTTAGGAGCATTTCTCGCCTAATTCTTTACAAAAGCAGGACATGCTTCCCCCTGCTGGGAAAAAATTAAATTACAAGGTACATCAGAACATGTTCCTAAGTATCAAGAAATCAAGTTCCTGGGAAAGATACTGTTAAGGAACCAGGTGCACACCAGCTCTGGCTGTTTCACCAGCTGCAGGAATACCTATGCCCTCTGTTAAGAGGTTCTCATCTGCATTTCTCGAGATTGGCTGTTTTCAAGCAAAAAACTCACATCAATGACTGACTGATTAATGACAGAGCCAGCTGTCCCAAAGTGAACTCCAATTAGCAGGTCTGAGAAAAACAATGTGTAACTTTTTTTTTTTTCATTTTAAAGATATTGTCAGCTAAATTAAAACACTTCTGGAAAATACACTGAAGTAAACGACTTGAGAAGATTTAACTGCATTCTTCATCATTCCAAACAATCTTAAGCATTTATTAACTGATTATCTTCCAACATTCCTATTACTATGTAATCCTTTTTTCAAAGTAGTTTAATTTTTCTAATTGACTTTACTTTTGCTTTGTTCCCATTCAGGAACCAAGAAAGTTGTTAACCTAATTGTATTTTGTCTCCCCAATTACATTACAAAAGCAGCTCTTTCATTGTAACTATTTATAGTTCCTTGAAAACATTTTCCATATTTTGATTATAGGTATTTCCTAGTTGTTTAACATGCAAAGATAGACAAACATGTTATACTTTGCTATTATATCAAACTCATCATAAAAAATTAAAATAAAGCTACTCTATTAAATCATACACGGGAGTGTAGAATTGTTTTTTCCCATGTACAGCCGAGACTCAAAAAATTTCTTCAAAGCTGAGAAGCTATAGGGTAGCAGAAGTTGTCACTTTAGTTTTGTAGGTAAGTCCATAACAGCCCAAGCTACAAAACTGCATTGTAGCCAATTTGATGATGAGGCAATTTATTATTAATGAAGCATTCATCCAAAAAACCTGCAGTTGTTTTTAAAAGGCATGTGTAGCTTACTACAGATATCAAGTAATTAGAGGGCGTCATTTCAACACAAATGGAGTGTTTATGCAATATTTCTGTCATATAGAAGTTTGTGTGTATGTGTCTGTCTGTCTTCTTTTAAACAAGCTTTCAAAGCAATGCAAAAGACAAGACACATCTGTTCCTCTGGGAATGGAATCTTCTTTTAACATTACAGGTACACAATAGAAAATGCACACTTGGTAAAACAGTTGATCAATTATGGAGTGTTCCGAGGGACCAATATCTCAGAGTATCCAATCTTCCCACTTCAAATAAATTTATAAGCGCTTTAGCCTCTCTTATCACATTCATATACACATGAACGTGTATAGCATTATCTAGGTTAATTCTATGATTTTCCACAGGGACGATTTTGATCAAAGGGCATCAAAATCACTTCCCAAATGCAGGGGGTCTGGGGCCAGGGGGCAGTGGACTGTAGCTAAGAAGCGCTTAGAACACTATACTGACCACCATTTACTTCCAAACTGATGTCCCTTCCTTTTGCGAAGTGAAAAATATCTCCATAGAACGCGTTACACTTTATCGTTTCTCTATCAATGATCCTAACAGGTCACCTCAACACTGCCATTTGGTCTTCCCCCAAATTAAGACGTGGAGAAGGAGCACTGCTGCCCGCCCCAAGAACGGGCTCTGTCCGCCCGAGCTCCGAAGCGAGCATCTTCAGGCGGACAGTTGCTGCGAAGACCCAGACTGGCGTCCCTCCCCAACTTCACTACTCTAATCAAGCCGCGGGCAAGATGGGCAGCCGGCTGTTTGTGCCCACTGCTGGGGGCAAGTCCTACCTTCTGCCAAAAGGCGCGATGCGTGCACAAAGGATGGATCCAGGCTATCTTTCTCTGCCATCAGCTCAGGCAAATATTTCTCCTCTTCCATAGCGCGGACTTCGGACCGTCCTCCGGCGAAGCGCGAGGTTCCGCTCGCTGGGACGCAGGGTCGCGGGGCAGCGCCTAGCTCCCGCGCTGCTCCGCCTCCGCCACGGCCAGGGGATCTCTGCGCGTCCTCACTGGCCCATGCACCGGCCGCCTGCGACTCCCGCCGTCGGGATGCACGGCCTCGAGCCCACCCCTGCCGGTCCCTTCCGTCGTCCCTTGATCGCGCGCAGCCCCTGCTCACACCAGCGGCCTTAACTGGAGAGGCGGGAACAAGGCGCGACCCACCTCTGCCAACCACTCATTGGTGGTGGAGCCAGTGGAGGGGGGGCTCCTGCGAAGCCTGCGAGCCCTTATTGGGCCACGCTGCACGTCGGGTCGCCTGACTGGCAGGCAGGCGGCAGCTGCAGAGGGGAGGGGAGCGCAGAAGGTGCAAACGCTTTCTTCTTGCTGCCCAAGTCCTCCCTGGTTATTAGGCATGCCCAGTTCTGTGGAGCTCTCTGTGTCTCTGCGGAGGGGTGGAGAGGAGAGACAGCGGGAAAAGCAGCTGTTAAACAGAGAGGCTTGGGTACAAGGCGGCAGGGAAGATGGGAATGAGGAGTGAGCCGCCGAGGAGGTGGGAAAGCGCCAGGGAAAGTCACAGGAAGGTAGATGGGACTTC